AAAAGTCAAGAGAGCAGAGGGAGTTGGAAGCCAACTCCAGAGCCTCTCAGATCTCATGTTTATTGAGTACAGTTGAAGCAGGAATTTAGGGAAGGACAGGGTGGGATCACAATGAGTACAAAGGCTTTGTTTATTGTTGGTGTTTGGCTCAAGGTCATAAGACCCTTTTTGGTGAATCATGTTCGTGTTGAGCCTTTCAGCTTATCAGGGCTGAACGTTTGAGAATCAGCTGCTTGACAAGATTTTCCTGGACTCAGGCGGCTGTGCCTGTCTCAGGTTGCCCCCTCGGGGGTCTTACCCATCACTGGCTAACCAGCCTTCTCACCTCTGAGTCTGCAGCTTTTTACCATTCCAGCCCAAGGCTGTTTTGGGGATAGAAGACTAACAGCAGGCACGCCCAGCGCCGGGGGCCTGGGTCATTGCTAAAACCTCAAGGCAGTTACTAAGCACTTCTTCTTTAAGGAGATAAGTGGCTGGGATTGTTACAATTTGTTAACCCAATCATGGGCTCCCACAAGTTTCCATAATAAAGTTAGGGGTACAACTCAAAATTATATACTAATGTTGAGCTTTGTCAGTGAGTGGGTGAGTGACTAATAGGTACCTAAATATATTTCCATGGTTCTCTATTATTAAATAAAAGAATTATACAAAAGGATGATAAGTTGTGAAATCAAGATTAGAACCTAAGTTTCTCTCCTAGCAGTGATTTCAAGTGAATTTGGGGGAGCTGTGAAGGTGAAGGTTATATGGAAGTAACTGTCTTCCTGTTTTTTCCCTTTTATTTTCGTCCTCTCAATTTCCCTAATGCACGAGGCTCCTGACCACCACAAAGAAAGCTAGAGCTGGGGCATTATCCTCATCACTTCTGAAGCTGGTGGAATGGTATTTATTGCTTCTACTTAAGTTTGAGACTCTCAAGTTTGTCTGTATAATCAGTTCTTCATTTAGGTAGGAGAGCTTTTATTGTCTTGCATATTCAAGATGTACCATGGCTACCAGTGCTAATTTAACATTCAGGTGAAGATAAAACAAGTTTTTGAAGGAATGATCATGAAGATCATACAGGCACCCCTCTCCCAACCCCCTCCCCCAAATTCCATTAGCGTTGTAAAGGTGAAAACCACTCATATTTTTGCCTACCTGTAACCATGTAGGCTACAGTCACATGTGCCTTAGGAAATGAGGGTTAGATGGTTTAGCCCTATAGTGGTCTTGAACAATTTAACTTTTACTCTAAGGCAAAATTTTCCAATCAGGGAGGGTAGTAGTTTCTTTCCTATGTTTTGTTTTTGTTTTCTAGGAAGGAATAGGGTTCAAATGAAATGTGAATTGAACACAAGCCTTAAATTTTTTTTAAAGGAAACATTAGAGAGTATTAACTTCCAATAGATAATATAAACCATAAAAAGGAAAACACCAGTAGATAAGGGTCTGTTTATGAAAAGAAAAACTCAACTCTGGAAATGACAAAACAAAACAAAACCTCTAAGGTCAGACTTAATAGGGAAACAGATGAAACCAGATTTAGAAGGGATGTCATATCAGGGACCAAAAAGGAAAAAAAAAATCTTGCAACTAATATCCATAGTTGCTTAACTGAGTACATAAAAGAAAGGAAAATAAGTTACACACTATTATTTAAACTTTGTAGCTTTCGTGATTTAAACTAGATAATATTGATGAAAATAATTCAAAAACTGTAAAGCTTTCACAAATATAAAATACACACACCTGAAAATGCAGCTAGTGTTGCCCTTAGATTTTCTTCTAAGGTGTCTTTATAATAATTGTTTGTATTGGATGTTAAAGTTTGGACCTTTGATCTGGGTTTTCAGTTTGAATTTATTTAAGGTCAAAAGACATTTATGTGGAAACTGAATTTGTTTCGTTGAATCTTTATACTTTCTTTCATGTCGCTTTCTGTTTCTGTGGTAGATTTAAAATGGCCATATTTTCTTTGCCATCTCTCCCATTATGTACAGATTCCAATATATTGTACTACAATGGCATGTAAATAGTCTCGGTTAGAAAATTTGACTTCACTTCTTACTATTAGTAAAATAATAGTAGCTTACATTTGTAAAGTGCCTTACCTCTTGGAAAATGTATTCCCATACCTCACCTCATTTGAGCCTTACTAGAAGCCCTGTTTAAAAGGTAGTGATTCTTATCCGTGTTTTCAGTTGGGAAAACAGAAGCTTAGAGAGATCACATGACGGGGTAGAGGAAAAGTCAAGAACTGAACGCAAGTCTTTTAAGCAACTTAGGTGCTTCCTCATCATCTGCTGCTTCAGTGCCTTACGTTCTTTCTTGATTAAAGAATTCTTCTTGATGGAGAAGAAAAAACAAAAAGAGTTGACTAGCTCTGCTTTCTCTTGCATTTTCTGCCCTTGTCGTTCTTCAACATTTTTTCCCTCCAACTTTTAAATATCTTTTTTATTGTGAGCATGGCTGTGTTGTCATATACTCTATCTGCCTGGTGAATTTGTCTGAAGTTAGAATTATGCTGGTGAGTGCTGCACGGAAGAGGGAGAGAAACACACACTCGTGGTGTCAGGCGCTGCGCGGGGGGCTTCCCCAGGTTGTGAGGTCGTCATCCTAACTTAGCAAGATGGGTGACATTGTCCTCAGTTTTTTACAGATGAGGAAAGGAGGCTCAGGGATTTACCCTGTTACTGTCTAGCATAATAGCGACCTTCTCTCCCAAAAAGGCTGACTATGGATTTCAATTGGAATCATCTTCTCTTTGAAGTTATTTTGTGCAGAACTTAATGTGCTTTTTTTCTCCCTCCTTAAAGGACATATTCCATGATGGTTTTTCTTTTTTTCTGTGATATTTTCATATTTCAAGAGAGTAATTGAGGTTTAGGAAGGCATGGGGAATGTTGGGTGTTCCTCTTTCCTTCTGCTGTGGTTTCTAAATTTGGCTTAGGTCACTGCTGAAATGTTGCCTAACGGGGTAGCACCCACATCACTTATATCTACATTTCATACCTCAGCAAGAACTAGTTTCAAGGATGGGTCCTTACAGAGGACATAGCTCCAAGGCCAGGGGACCTAGGACAGGTGTGGGTATGAAAGAAAGGGCTGCAGCATGGGCGCGTGGGCATTGGCACATCACAGACCAGTGGCAGTGAGGGCTGTGCCCACAAGGGAAGGCTGTCGTCACACCCGCAATGGGGCCTGAAGAGTTTTGTCTAGAATCAGTCCTGGTTGCTGCAGAAGTCAGTGGTGGTGACCAGTGTTTGTTAGTTTCAAGTCTCCTCTCAGCCCTCTCCTGCCTCCTATGAAGGAATGATACCTTCTAGAAAGGCTAGCATCTCTCTTTCCAACTTGAATTGCAACATCTCAAAACCTGATGGTCTCATAATTACAAACTGCTAAATGTTAGAGATGCAAGGAAGTGATTTACATTATGACAATGCATTGTCATAAAGTAATCTCTTATTTCCCCATTTTCCAGACAATTGCAACACGACTTTCCCAGGGCCCTGATTTTCAGCACTGATGATTTTTTCTTCAGGGAAGATGGTGCCTATGAGTTCAATCCTGATTTCCTGGAGGAAGCTCATGAATGGAACCAGAAAAGAGGTGAAACATTCCTTTCCACACTCCTGGGAAATCCTATTGTGCACGTAGATTGTAGCTACTGCAAAATGAAAAAGTGTTATGGAAGGAGCTTAATCTAAAGTTCTGCCATTTCCCCCCCCTCAAACAGAATGCCAGAGTGTAACCTCCCTAGATGCCAGGAAAAAGAGAATGATTGATAATGGGTTCTGAAATAGGTGGTGTTAAAGTTGTGTAATGAGGACCTCTGGTAATAAAAATAACAAAATATGGAGTACGCTCACCCTTCTCTGACTGTTGCATGTTGTTCACTGTTATGTAACATTGTGTTGCAGCAAGAAAAGCAATGAGGAATGGCATATCCCCCATTATTATTGATAATACCAACCTCCACGCCTGGGAAATGAAGCCCTATGCAGTCATGGTAGGAAGAAGTATCATTCTGAATTTTCAGTTATGGGCATTTTGTGAGAAAGTTGAAACATTTGTTTTTTCTTCTTTTTCTGATCTTCCGTGATCTCATATTCATTAATAGTCGTCCTCTCGGGGAGCAGATAAAGAGGTTTTATTTTAGTGTTTCTCTGTTGTTCAGTGGCTGAAATTTGCTGAGATGCTGGTATCACTTCAGGGTACATTTTAAAAATAGTCCTTGGTCTGAATTCTTGATAAGGTGTCCATCTTGATTGTTTTCCTAAGGGAAGGCATACACAGGAGCCTCCACTGAGACCGGCCAGGAAGTGCTGGACTAGGTGATGCCACCAGAGGAGCTGCAGATGATGTTCATAGGACAGTTCTGTCTCTGTCACGCCGGGCACTTGAGTACTATGTTCCAGGGCAATGAATTTCTTAGTTTAAAAACAGATTTAGGATTAACATTGTAACCCTGTTATGATACTGGAATATAAATATAAATTCACATATAAAGGTAACTAAGTTGTCTACGCTCAGAACAGTAAGATTGAATAAAGCAATGTGCACTTTTTTCTTTGAGTTTGAAATATGTCTGATCTGTTTTCAGACATATTTCATCTTGCGTGCTAATAAGTTTTCATTCCTTACTGAGTGTAGAAAGGAGAAAAGATCCAGAAACATGCAGGGGCAGGAAGAAGACAGCTGAGCAGTCTCCCCACTTGGCTAATTGTAAAGTGAATATCTCTAAAACTGGGCTCGTGGCCGTCTATTTTTAGGCCTCTTCATGTTTTGAGCAAAATAGCTTACATACGAATATTCTTTTCCTTAACTGTACTTTCATCAGTTTTACGTAGGCCCAGACTGTGGGACTTTGGTGAATGTAGGAAAGAAAGAGCATCAAGTTTGTGGTTACTTCAGTTCATGGCTCGAGCGTCCACTTGGGAGAGAAATGAACAGGGACGTGAAGAGTCGAGTTAGTTAAGGCACAGCTCAGCACCAAGAGTCAGGGGTTAACTGAGAGGCTCAAGGGAAGTCATTTTACTTTTTATTTTTTATCTTCTATTTTCTAGACATGGACAATCTTTTCTAGCCACCCACAGCGATTAATAAGACCCAGAAATTAGGAATTTTCCACATGTGACATTTGATGTCCTTCCCAAATTCGAAGTGTCCGTTTAGAGAATAAAGAGGAAATCTTTTTACTTAGCTCTTTTCATTCTGTATTTTATAACACAATAAACAATAGTGATAATAGAAAGTTCAGTTTGAGGTTAAAAAGTAGTGGTCAGTTTATGAATGCAAAGAATGTTTGATGTTTATATGAAGTGGTAATTTTCTAAACTCAATGAAATGGGGCCCACTGAATTGAGCCAAACTGTCCTGCATAGCAGGGAGAGCAAGTATGTGGAAATCACTTTTATTTCCTAAGCTCTGTGCCTGTGGCACCCTCACTTTCTAAGGCATCTGACAGAAGTGAGTCCATGATAATCACGTAAAGGACTTTGAGAAGCCATTAGAATTCATTGCTCATACCTGTGGACAGGGCATTTAAAACTAGTTCTGCTATCTATTTTTTAACTAGCCAAAACAAAGAACTTTTATAATTTTCCAGCATAGCAGATAAAATTGACCAAAATTGATCATTGGGAGCCGTAATAATCTAAGAGTGGCTAAGAAGGGAAATGAACCAACTGTATTTGTTAACATAAACTAAGGCATTGGATTACTGGTCAAACAAAAGGAATTTTAGAAAAGATTTGTAATAAATGTTAAATGGCAGCGTAACCATTCCCAAACATACATACCATGTCTTCAATGTTTTATGTACTTTTGAAAAATCAGGCACTTGAAAATAACTATGAAGTTATATTCCGAGAACCTGACACTCGCTGGAAATTCAACGTTCAAGAGTTAGCAAGGTACTTCTTTGTCTTTCTAGTTCCTCATTATGTATCCTGCTATTTTCAGGTATTTCAGACCGAACAAAAGAATCTTTTCAGGCTGGAAATGGACATGGTAGTTTTCAGGCCAGAAATGGTAATTCTTAGAAATTGATAACTTTGGAATTATTAATGTGAAGACTTTAGTTTGGATCAGTTTTCTGATGTAATGCTAAATGCTAAATCTTGGCTTGGACTTGGTCCTTGAAAAGGACACATTTAACATGCTGCTAAATGCTTCTTTATCAGCGAACATTTAAAAGCACTTTCCTCTGCATGGGATTGCACTTGTGAGTGGTGTTTTTGCACTTAGGCTAAACAAAGATCTTCAGATGTGGAACCGTTTGTGGTTCATTTATGATCTAAATGCTGCTTCTAATTTGTAAAGCAATAAATGTTCAAATAACACTAACTTGTTGACTGAATGCATGGATTCTGATACTCACTATCTGTGCTATTTGATAATGTCAGTGATTTAAAGTAACCAGTGAGATCAGAATTTAGTTTTGGGGAATAGGCCTAGTTCAGCTTACAGTTATAAGCAGACAGTGTTTCCAAAGGGATCTGTGGAGCACCCCCATCAGAATTGCCTGGGGTGGATGTTAAAATCCTAATTCACAGGCCCATCCACAGTTGGAATCTCTGGTAATTGCATTTCAAACTATATCCCCAGTTGATTCTCATGCCCTCTTGAATTAAAGAAGATTGTTTTAATAAGCTTCTAGAAGTATCTAGGACTGACATAATTGATTATAGATATATGCATGACAAACTGGCAAATACATAATAAAAAAAAGTAATGGTGCTCTTTTACAACTTGAAGCACAGAATTGAGATGTCCAGAAACAAAGCATTTCTGAAGCTTTAGCTTTTCGCTAGCCTCAGGGTAGTTTGAGGGTTTGCAGGGCAGCATGAAAAACGGGAGTTGAGCCTGAAAGATAACTGCTAACATGACTGTTACGCTTTTGTAAGAGTTCCATCCTGAGATAATAATATAGTAGTTGTAAAGTACAAGTAACTCCTTTTGCTATGATGCCTTAACTAACCTTTTGCATTTTTTTCCACGTAGAAGAAACATTCATGGAGTCCCAAGAGAAAAAATACACCGAATGAAAGAACGGTATGAACATGATGTTACCTTTCACAGTGTGCTGCATGCCGAGAAACCGAGCAGAGCAAACAGAAGCCAGGACAGAAGTAATGCATCTCCTTCCAACGGTGCAGGGTACTGGAACACCTACGCAGAGTTCCCAAACCGGAGGGCTCATGGCGGCTTCATTAATGAGAGCTCCTTTAACAGAAGGGGTGGCTGTCACCATGGATATTAGAGGTCTCTCTTACAGGCACTCAGAATTTTCCTAAATCAGTTTTTACTTCAAATTTTGGTATTTATTCTTTGTTCAATTGTAGTCAGAGCTCTAATTCTAATGTAAATAGTCGAACCTGAAAGTTTTTGAGCAGAAGTAACTACATTCATCTTCAACAAGCATTTGTTAAAGTGATCCTATATGCATGGTCTGATGCTGGGAACTCTGCCGATTTGATTAAACAAAGTCCCTTTCTATAGGGAAAGGATTAATTTGAAGCTGAAACCTGAGGACATATCCAAGAACATAGTCAGCCTCGTAGGTCCATTAATGAAATGAAGTGTTTATAATATAAAGCTTCAGTACCACTTTCTCTGAAGCAACCTATTTTTTTTTCCAGGAAATTCATCTCCATCAGGAAAGTTGGAACAGTGGGGGAGGAGAAGTAGGAGGCAGGAAAAATTTTAGTGCCATTGCTACGCTGATAATCCATGTTATCTAACAGTGTGAGATGTGTGGCTGTAATGATACTGATTTTCCTTTGAAATGAATATGGCAGAAAGTACACATCTAAGGGAATATTGTCCTTCAAAGTAGACACTTTGGGAAATTATTCCTTTATTTTAGTGATGTATCATTGTTAAACATGTCTGTCAAAATCCTTCTTATTAGCTATACAAGCTACTGAGGAAAATCAGTGTCGTTACTTAAAGTCACATCTTGTGTTTTAACTACCATTTTATTGAACAGGGTTAAACCTGAATAACTTTTGGCTGTTGTGCTAATAGTGTAAATAAAACAGGCCTGCTTTTATAAAACACCAATTTTTAAGAGGAATAATCAAGCAATTTTTAACATTATGCCTATAAACATGTATATAATCATTTGGCAGCCCAAAGTTTTGGGAGTGCAAGGAATTAAGCATCCGAGGACGCAGATCCTATGGAGATAGGTAAAAGTCACACTTGTCTTAAGATGAGCAGTCTTGGTATTTTTATGTGGCATTAAGACAGTGAAGTTCTACCACTTCTCTTATACTAATACTAACTAATGAATCCAAGTTAAATCTCAGCAGATTGAAATCAGATTAGTTTGGTGTGAGACCACAATAGATAAGATCATGTAGGATGTATGCTTTATTTCTTGTTGGCCAACAGCCTTCTAATGTTTTGTGAAGTATTATTTTAAGTGTCCTATCTAATGGTGCTTTTATGGTTATTAAAATTATATATGGTATTGCTTTTAATGGATTTGTCATTGAATCTAAGGTTTTAGTTTAAGAATATAAAAAAGTTTAATTACCATAAATTCCACAGAATCCTACAATATTAAGAACCAACTTTTCTTTTCTATATCATAAACTTATTTACCAGTCTTCAATGAATAGGTAACAAATGCAATCTGATATTTTACTGGCTTATATAAATGATTTGATCTGTACACATTAGAAAGACTATATTATTACTTTAACATTCCATTATCTAACACTATTGAAATCTATACAGCGTCTTGACTACCAGCAACGCATCTGTAATTTTTTCTTCATTAACATTAAAAAAATTGGTGTCTCCTTTGAGTAGCCAAGTTTGGC